AGCTAAATCGGGGAAGTCGTGCATTGATAGCTAGATTTTTGGCTCGTCCCATAGCAAGAAAAAAGAAGTTATGAGAGCAGCCTAGGCTCAGAGATAGACTGACGGGGACAATTTCAAATACAAACCGCTGTTCGAAAAGCAATCACTCCCCTCCGCTTTACCCATTTTGTTCTTCATACAAATTTTTTACCTCTATCAGAGGTGATCAGTGGGAAGTTTAGCACCTTTTTAACTTCAGTTATATAGAAGCCTGCAGATCCCAGTGGATGCGGTGCAGGAGAAACCAAAGGCCTGCCGCCTGTAGCCGTAGGAGATGATTAGGAGCGCGAGCGCTGTGGAGAAGATTTTGGCAAGGGTCCAGAAAAACTTAGTGAGGACATCCTTAGAAAAAACCATTATAACTCTTCTTGGAATCAACTTTCAAGGACATGAAGGACAGATTTGGAATCAGTATTGAAAGGCGCATTTTTCAGTAATACGCCTACCGGATAGATAAACAACTCTGTTTCGCTACTCGTGTTCTATTTTCACCAAAATCTGAGCCCTCAAAATTCACCGTTAAAACTGACTTTCAAGTTCAATGTTGTGTGAAAGATTATGAATGAATTTTTTATCAATTTCTGGATTTGAAGTTGAGAAAGTAGGGAGTGTTAATCAGGGGATACAGTCAACTAAGTTGCATGTGATGAACTTTCGCTATTGTGTACAACCTCGAAAGGATTACTGACATAGTTTTAATGGCAATTCCTATAAAGTCTTTAGTGTCAAAATTTAGAATAAGAATAGGTCTGAGGTTATGAGACAAACTGCATCTTGCATCTTGACGCAAGCCTCCAGACGTGTTTTTACAACATTTGATTGCTTTAGTTCATTGATTCAAAAGGCAAACTATTCCTATATCTCAAAGAAAAAAGAATGAATTTTGAATTAAAATTCTGTGTTCAGCAATTTAAAACTTCAAAACTCATAAAAAACGTTTCTATAAAGAAGTTGACTTTTCTTACCACTACAATTCTGAATTTTCACTTGATTTTCGGCCCAGTAAATGCGCCTTCAATTTCACATTACAAATCTGTTTTTCAAGTTCTTAAAAGTCATCTCCAGGCAAAGTTATGAAGATTTGTTCCTACAGAATGTCATTGCCAAGTTTTCTTGGATACTGGCCAAAATATTCTCCACAGCGCTCGCGCTCTTAATTATCTCCTGCGAATGTAGGCGGCAGCCCTTTGGTTCTCCTGCACAACCCCCGATCCCAGTGGCCGTCCCAGGATTTCCGTCTGGGAGAGGGTATGCGCGGCATGGCCGGCAAAGTCCCATCGTCACCTCCCCGCGGTGCCGGCTGGCAACGGGGACCAACCCCGGCAAACGACGAGGGCACTGTCCCGCCAGGCGGAGCGACGCGCCGGGGACTGTACGAATCAGTCGTGTCACATGCATCGGACTATTAAGGAATTTTGTCAAGCTGCTAGGGCGTCCCCCGGAGGCGACGCGCGTCATTGCCCGCATGGCGCGAATAGTGAGCTAGGGCTACCTGCCCCCGGACGAGGCAGGCCAAAGAAGTGAGTCAGGAAATCCAACTAGCGACGATCAATATAGGAACGCTGACGAGCCGCAGTCGGGAACTATGCGATAGGCTGAAGGAACGACACGTCGACATCGCATGTATACAGGAAACGAAATAGAAAGGGAGGCAGGCAAAGGACATCGGCGACGGATATCGCTTGTACTACACGGGAGATAGCAGCCGCCAGAACGGAGTCGCGATCATCTGAAGGAACGACACGTCGACATCGCATGTATACAGGAAACGAAATAGAAAGGGAGGCAGGCAAAGGACATCGGCGACGGATATCGCTTGTACTACACGGGAGATAGCAGCCGCCAGAACGGAGTCGCGATCATCGTCAACGGTAGATACCGCGAATTAGTGACCGAAGTGACGCGCATCTCAGATAGATTGATGGCGATGAAGATCGAAGCAGATGATGCCACGCTCCGAATGGTCTCGTGTTATGCCCCGCAAGCCGCATGTACCGAAGCCGAGAAGGACGTGTTTTGGAGGGACTTCGACATCCTGCTAAGGACATTCGACGCTGCAGACTACATCTTCGTAGGAGGCGATCTCAATGGGCACATTGGCCACGAACACTATGGATTCAAGCGATACCATGGTGGAAACGGATACGGTCAGAGGAATGAAGATGGAGAACGCATCCTGGAAGCAGCAGAAGCACACGACTTGGCGATAGCGAATACATTTTTCAGGAAGCGAGAGTCACATTTGATCACGTACGCGAGTGGAGAGCGCTCAACTCAAATCGACTACTGGATGCTGCGCCGATGCCACTTGCCAATGGTGATGAACGCGAAGGTTATACCCACGGCGACACATGCATTTGCGCCACAACACCGGTTGCTTGTATTGGATCTTCGACTGAACATCCACTTGCGGTCACGAGCCAGAAGGACGACTACAAAGAGGATCAAATGGTGGAAGCTCCCCGAACACCGCCAGCAAGTCAGAGATGCTCTTAACGATTTGAGGGTGTCGACGGATGATAAGGAGTCGATTGAAGAGCAGTGGAATCGGATTACTTCGCAGATACGGTCGAGGGCCGAGACAATCTTGGGAACCACCAAGCCAGGACGCCGGTTTGTAGACAAGCAGATCTGGTGGTGGTCTGAGTCAGTCCAGCAAGTGATCAAGGAGAAGAAAGAAGCTTTCAAAGCCTGGCAACGCTCACGCTCAAATGAAGACCTCCGTCGGTATCGAGAGCAGAACTCGAAGGCGAAGCACGCGGTAGCCGAAGCAAAGGAAGCTCACTACAAGAGACTTTACGACGAGCTGGAAGGACCTGCTGGAGCGAACAAGGTCTACCGGCTGGCCGCGGCACGACATCGAGCGAAGCAGGACATCGACCACGTCATGCACATTAAGGACGCAGAGGGCAACCTCCTGACGAAGCCGAGGGCAATACTCAAGCGGTGGAGTGAATACTACAAAGGGCTATTTAATGAGGAGTTCCCGCACCCGTTAATACCGCAAGGAGCCCCCACATATGGACCGGTATCCCGGATCGAGGAGGCAGAAGTTGTGCAGGCACTGAGGAAGATGTCTAGCGGAAAAGCTCCGGGACCCGACGACATACCTGCTGAAGTGTGGAAGATGATGGGGCAGCGTGGAGCGGCATATCTCACATCGCTCTTTAACCGCATTATCGTAGACGGACAGTTGCCGCGAATCTGGACTACGAGTGTCACAGTCCCTATCTGGAAGGAAAAGGGCGACGTCAGCGACTGTTCAACATATCGACCAATACGCTTGCTATGCCACACGATAAAGATCTTCGAACGAGTCATCGACGCACGCATTCGAAGTATAGTGGAGGTCACCCCGAATCAATGTGGCTTTGTAAAAGGATCTGGCACCATCAACGCCATCCACGCGGTACGGTTGCTAATGGAAAGGCATTTGGAGAAACGGATTCCGATTCATTTCGCATTCCTGGATTTAGAAAAGGCATTTGATCGGATACCGCACGGGTTGATCTGGTATGCGCTGAGGAAACACGACGTCCCAGAAGAGTACGTTCGCTGGATCAAACTCCTCTATACGAACACGACGGGCGCCATATGCTGTGCAGTGGGAACGTCAACGCCATTCCCAATCCAAGTCGGAGTACACCAAGGATCGGCTCTATCACCGCTTCTCTTTATACTGTGCATGGACACGGTGACCAAGGACATCCAGCTGCCGCATCCGTGGACGCTCCTTTACGCAGACGACGTCGAGCTAGCAAGCGGGTCGAGACAAGAGCTTGAAGAGGCGACTGTGAGATGGAAGACACGATTAGCGGAGTATGGCCTACGACTGAACGTAGCAAAGACCGAGTACCTGGAATGCGGAGAGCAAACCGATGGCACCATTAGCATCGATGGGCAGCCGCTGAAGAAGGTCACGATATTCAAATACCTGGGCTCCCGAGTGACGTCAGATTGCGACACGATCACTGATGCTCGTGCTAGGACGAACGAGGCGTGGCTAAAATGGCGGCAAGTAACAGGAGTACTCTGCGACCGACGAATTCCGTTCTATCTTAAGTCGAAAGTGTATCGGACTGTGGTGAGGCCAGTCGCACTGTATGGAGCCGAATGTTGGCCAGCAACCAGAAAACACGAGCAGATCCTGAGCACGATGGAGACGCGAATGATAAGATGGATACTGGGCCTAACGAGAAGAAACTGCGTCACGAACGATGATGTACGACACATTTTCGGAGTTGCACCTATCGCGGATAAGATGCGAGGTGCCAGATTAAGATGGTATGGTCACGTTTTACGAAGTGAAGATAATACAGTAGCAAAAACAGCACTTCGTCTAGATCCACAGGGGAAGAGACCACGTGGTCGTCCGAAGCAACGCTGGTTGGACACCATTCCAAACGACCTGCACATTGCAAAGCTCAAACCACAAGAAGCAGCTGATCGAGTCAAATGGAAGCAAAAATGCACCACCGCCGACCCTGCACCCGCGGGACAATGGCGAAGATAAAGAAGAGGAGGGTATGCGCGGCACACTCCGAAAAGTTTTTTGGGGTGCTTTTCAAAATTGTTGCGAACTCATAAGCCCTAAAATCTAGAAAAAGGGGGCGTGGTCCCGCTACGCCCCAAAAAATTTTTTTACAAGGTAAATTTGATTTCTTAAAAAATTTTAAAATTTATTTCAACTATTAACAAAAATAAACAAGTCACTTGCACATTCTTAAAACCCATGTAAGTGAATTTCAAAAGGCGACCCATTCTCCGGGGGGGGGTCTCCTTCGGTCCACCACTGGTAAATCTGTCATTACAGCTTAGCGCTAACCAAGATTGTTGACCGGGCTTTTCTGATAGCTTCACTTGCATTCTTAAAGCATGGGAGTTTCATCAATCCAACTTACGTGTTTGAGCTGAGAGTGGGAGTGTAATGAGTGATTCAATATGTATGGACAACAAACAACGATGCTTCCTTGATTGTACATAATTGTCTTTATTTTATAGTCTGTATCACTTTTTTGAAAATCCTCTTTGTCCATACTTTTTCACCAGACGTCTTGCAACTTCTATCGGATATGGAATCACAATCGTATTGTTCCTGTAAACGAAATCACATTTAGAATCTCTTTAGACCACTGGAAGATTACCTTTGTGCCGCAACTTGATGCAAGGTCTGGAGATAACGCAGTTGTACTGAAATCGTATTGTTGCTGATGATATCGGCTGCCTCGGAGATCCACCTGTAAAAAAAAATTTGGTGGGCACTTTCAAAAAAAACTAATCAAAATTTAGAAAGTCTGGTATGGGTTTGTCGCAGGGACAGCGGATGCTTTCGGCGTCTCTCACATGACACGCACTTTCGTCCCTCTAACCGTCTGCTGTCTCTCCACACGAACTATCTTGTTCGTAGAGGCGAGTTCAGGGTAGGGGAACGAACTCCGCCAGTTTGAACCGCCACTGCGGACTACTGATCCTGCAACGACATGCAAAAATACTGCGAAAGGACCAGTTGTCACCGAAGGCAAGCTCAAACTGGCGGAGTTTGTTTATGTACCCGCGAGCTTTCCTGTGAATCAACCTTATGGATCTACAACTTCTTGCAAATGCGAGAAGTAGTGCAATAACACAAATAAGTGCTGCGATAAGACACTGAATGAATCTCGCGATTCTCCCAACATACAAAACTTGCTCACCTTGAAGCGTTTTTCTCTCCCTCAGCATGAATGACAGCGGCTCTCGCTCGCCGAACAGCTTCTGCCTCAGCGGCCATACTTCGAGTGAGTTGATGAGGAAGACGGATATCTTTGATCTCAACGCGTTCCACCTTGAAATTTTTTGTTACAGAGCTTAATTTCAGTAGATCCACCTTTGCAAAGCCATACCTTTACACCCCACGGCACCGTACCTTCGTCTAGCACTTTTTCGGTAATCTGAAATACCATGCTAATTGCTACTAGGATGGTCCTCTTCCTAGTAGACACCTGATGGACGATTTTGAATTTGAACTGAATCTGCCGTTAGCGGTATGACACGCCATATTTGATTCTCAGTTTATGCGCCCTAGAATAGTGCCGCGCTCTACGGCGAAGGGCTTGCTCCAGTCCAAACTCAAAACTGTCCACCAGTTGTCTACTGGGTCGCTGAAGACTACCAAAAGCTGTTTTTCTTTTACGATAAATAAATCACAAGCGATTCTTCAATGACAATCATCGCACGAGTGCGACCAATCTGTTATATGCCAGCTGCTCCTATGTATCCATCACAACATACATCTTACGAGACAACTAACATTTGCTATCGCATCCCGTTCCGACAGCATCTCACTCAGCGTTTTCGTGCCCAGCACATTTCGAAGTGTTGTTTGTGCGAGAAGGCGAGTACTGAATTGGGCATCGTTCACATTTGTTACTGAAATCACCTGCAACAGTCGAATAATGAGCCTTCATATCAATGTCTAAACGACTTTAAGAAAAAGACTGAAAGTCTAAATCATCAATAATTTAACTGAGCCTACCGGGTTGGAAACCCTGAAGTAGATGACTGCTTCCACGGACACGGTAACTGAATCGCGACTGAGAATTTCTTGAGGTGGCACATCGAATGAGAGCACTCGCAAATCAACCTAAACATAGATTATTGTATAATACGTAGGGAGTAAAAACTCAAACTTTCTAAGCCAAAAAATCTCCATTCTTGTATAAGTCCAGGCGAAGAACTTATACAGCAATTTTGGCTAGAAGTTTCTTCTTAAAGAGTTTCATTGACATCATATTCAATGGAGATAGGAAATAGGCTGGACTAGAACAAGAAACTGATTCAGGCTTGACTTGATGAAAGAAGAAACGACTTACGAAGTGACAAGAACATCAATAAAAGTAGATAAAGTTTTCGAAAAAAAAATACAGATAATTAGTTAACATGGTTGGGAACCCATCACCAGGACTGACAAAATATGAAATTGGGGGACGGTGGGATTTCCGGGAATAGTCCATATGGGTTGTTAGAGAGCGCAAACTTGCTTATAATTAAAGCAATTTGAATTGATTTTGAAAATTTCTAAAATATTAGGTTGTCCCAAAAGTTTTGTCGTTTTTTTATTCAAATCATCATAAAAACACACAGAATAATCGTGAGCCAACAGGTAAGACATCATTCGACGCAGATTTTCTTCCTCTTTCAGGCAATCATATTCTTGTGCTAGTTACTTTATTGATTACTGAAATAATCGGTACTTTTCCGTTATCCGGACCCATTTTTCAAAGAAGGATATTGCTTTTTTTCTTCTACCATATTTGGTCCCAATTTCACAGGAAGGAGTGTCAACCTTCTGCCACGTGTCAAAAAAATTTGACATGTCATCTACATGTTCAAACAGGTTTTACCACGGCTTTTTGCACTACCTAACGACGTAAATTCAATCTGTGTTTAAGTCGGTAATGACCCCATTTTCAGATAAAGGAAATGAAAGGTTTCAGAAATGAACACTTATACTTATAACATCATCCTGTTGTCATTGAAAAGATCAGATTTGCCCAGAATGGAGAATTGTGCTAGGATTCCATTATCCATGCGGCGAAACAAGCAGCAGCGAGATACCGCAGGCTGTCATTTATAGTCTTTCCTGACTAATTTCACATGGCGGAAAGTTTGAAGAAGAAGACAAGTTCGAATTATTGCTGAAAGCAATTGAGATGTTCTGCGATAACTTTTAGACAGTTTTGCTTTCATAGAAAACATTTGAAGAACTTTTAAGCGGTTACAAACGCTTTTTTACCTCACCGGAAATGATTTCGAAAAAACAAGTCAAAATGGACTAAAACGTGTCAAATTTTTCCTGTTACGTGGCGGGGAGGTAGTCTTCGTAGAATCTACAAAAAATTATTCTCAGACTAAAGAACATATGTTTTGAGAGCCTTTTGAAAAAATGGGTCCGGATAACGGAAAAGTACCAAATAATCTTCAAAATGTCGAACCCATGGTTTTTAGAATGTCCAACTTTGGCAGTTTTTCAAAACCTTTATTTTGAACTTTTGAGAAAGCTTTGATAGCAGTCAGATAGCTTAAACCAAGTGCAACACATAGCAATTTTTGGGCACCTCCAACTGCCTTTTTGGTATTTTTCAAAATAACTTTTCCAAAAGTCTTCATTTTTGGGAAATTGCAAAATACACAAACGCCCCAAACACTAACAAATCTTCGGAATTTAGAACTTCCAAAAATCGATTATGATTACACACTAATATTTCGAAGCAATACAGCGCTAGCCGCTCCGAAATATCAAGTTTCGCTTTTTACAGGTATAGCTTCGGATGGGATTGAAATCAAGAATTGTTGAAGTTTTTTTGCCAAAGACTGTATGAACTGAAGAGAAAAAACGCATTCCAGAAAGAGGAGAAAAAGCTGCATTGAATGACACTTTGATTGTGCGCCATTTGCAGTTCTTTGAGTTTTTGGGTGACCAAAATTGGAATTTGATAACATCAGAGAAATAATTTCAAAATTTGGAAAAGCCACCTGTAAAGGTGGAAAAATTGCCATGCGTTGCACTTGGTTTAAGCTATCTGACTGCTACCAAAGCTTTCTCAAAAGTTCAAAATAAAGGTTTTGAAAAATTGCCAAAGTTGGACTTTCTAAAAACCATGGGTTTGAAATTTTGACGATTATTTCAGTAACTAATAAAGTAACTAGCACAATGATATAACTGCCTGAAAGAGGAAGAAAATCTGCGTCGAATGATATCTTACCTGTTGGCTTACGATTATTCTGCGTGTTTTCATGATTTTTGAAAAAAACGACAAAACTTTCGGGATAACCTAATATAAAATAGTTTCTTGAAAGGAGTCTCTTAGTGATCCCCCCAACCACTTTTCTCAAAATTTTACAATTTTTTTACCAAGTCATTATTTTGTCATCTCTCAAAAAGCTCCATGCAACTAGTGATAGACGCAGTACGCAAAAAAAAAACAGATCAAGTTCCAAGTTCTTATCTCGCAGATGAATAATTGCAGTCTACTTCAGACCTCCGAAGACGACGACTTTGTCGAAACGTAAGGTCAATAAATGATACCACCGTACTAACCTGGATCTGGCACAAATAACTTACAAGGGAAAGTTCCCAAGTCAGCTCGGCCAACCCGGATGAGTCATATATCACCGTAACGGGCTTGAAACGCTGATTTCAAATCTGCTTTCCTTTTCTGCGGAGCAACTTTCCGAGGGAAGTTATGAGCGTTTAAATGTCTAAATTTGTCATATTCAAAGTGGCTTAAAATCAATTGAAAGCTGTAAAACAACACCTAACGAAATTTCATTGTCTGTGTTCCGTTTTGAATCAACATACTGATACAAAACTGATAAATCACTTTTATGTGTTATTGTACAGGTTTCGCCAATTTTAAGCCATTTGAAACATGACAAATTTAGACTTTTAGACGCTCATAACTTCTTTCGGAAGGTCGCTCCCCAGAAAAGGAAAGCAGATTTGGAATCAGCGTTACAAGCCCGTTACAATGATATATGACTCATCCGGGTTGGCCGAGCTGTCTTGGGAACTCTTCCTCGTTAGAACGAAAACAGATCAAATTTCCTACAAAGTATAATAGTCAATTGTCATTGTTTACTGAAAGATGTCCACCTGTGCTGTTTTGTTCGTTCTCAGGAGTATGAAATATAAGCTCCAACTGAGCAATGACATGATTTTCTCATGCCTTTTTTGAGCCATACTGGGAGGAGAGTAAAGAAATTTCGTATGTCAGATGAAAACCAAAAAAGCTATCATTTTCATGAAAGTACTCAATGAATGAGTAATTGCAGGGCAATGTCTTGAAAGATGACAAATGGGAAGAGCTACTGTCGCTACACATCCTGGGAATACATTCGCAAAGTTGAATGTTGCCAGTGTTGAGAACGTTCAATGAGAAACAAATACTTTGGGCCGACCTTTCAAAAATTTGGAATTTTTATTAGGTCTCCTAAAAGTAAACACTTTTGAATAAACTGAACTGTTTTTGTTCTCCTAACAAGCTTAGGGTATTATTCGATAGAACGGAGCAAGCTCTACAAAAAGACCACTAAAGAGTCGTCACCCAGGATTTGGGGAGAAAAATCAGAATTTTTCAGCTACTCTAAAAAATCTCCTTTTAGATAGCTTCTACGAACTTCTAACTTGGCCTTTATATAGTAGACACATAGCAGTATCCAAAAATGTATTTGGCGATTTTTTCCGAGGCTCAAAATTGAGAAACAAAGATGGTCCGAAAATGCCAAGATGCCGCTTCTTTCGGGTTTTTCATGTAAAATCTGGTTTTAGATTATGAGAATGCAAGGGTAAAGTTTTGAAATTATAATTAGTAAAATTTGTAGTGTACAATGACATATGTAGGAGAAGGTGGGGGCGGAGTTTGCCATTTTTGGACTATCTTTTTCTCTAGCTTTCCATGCTCTGGAAAAATCCAGTAAAGACAAATTTGAGTACTAATAAGTGCACTACTGAGTGACCATGTTGGAGGTCCTTAGGATTTTTTTCTCGCAAAATCCATTAGGTGACAAAATTTTTTTCCGATTTCGGCTCAAAGTTTTCCATGAGATGTGACTTAGGCAGATACTTAGCGGTCATTTTGATCTGCTCTGACGGATGATTACCCAAGTCTACTAAGAAATCAAAAAAGGTTGAACTACTTTAAAAAGAGTTTACTTTTAGGACAATCTAATAGTTATAAACAATCTTCCGTAATCTCGCGCGAAAGCGGAACGAAGAACGCGAATCTCAACGTTCAATCATTGCACTAATGACAGATTTGTCCCAGGGGAGCTATCGCATCGTGAGTATGTGTGTGGGAAAATGGCCACGCAACAAATCACTATTTTACTACTAACTCACTATTTTACATGTGTCGATACATGGCAGAATAAAAAATAGCCCAGGGCCTTTGGTTCCACCTTTGATAAGCCGTCCAAGCCGAAAAATCACAGCTCGTTGATATTCTCTGTAAAATAAGCATTGTTGAGGAGCAAGTGTGAAAAAATGATGGACACTTACTTAATGATTTTTACACAAAAGAACAGACTCCATGGAAATGACATCACAAACAATACTGATGAAAAGATGAACATCATATGTGAAATGAGCGGAGGTGGTTCCTGCAAAAATTCAAACGTAGATTGGGTACGAAAAACATTTTTCATATTCAATATTCAATGCATGAGCATGCCAGCTTAGAAAAAAACTTTTCTGCATATTTATGTCTTTCAGAGAGTATCAAATCTTAAACATGCAAGCAGCACTTTTTTGACTTTTCCCTTTTCCGAATGGGAACGATGTTCCCGCACTTGCCCCAACACATGTTGCTTGACTTTTTCCAAACTTTTTTAGTGAACTGCTAATTTTTTTCGAGTTTCATTATTGGTTCAAGCATCTCAGCGCGTTCCTTTAGATAGCACGTATTAGGAAGAGAGAATAGACAGCTAGAGGGATGAAAGTGTGTTTGTCTGAGAGACGCAGGCATTTTCTGCAGTGGCGTTCTGTCTCTGCGTGCGAAGAATTGCTTATGAACTGAGTCGTGTTGATATTTTCAGAAAATTATATTTGCTAGCAAAACCTTTTATAAATGGATTCTGCATTTATTCCTCGCCAAAATCATAAAATTGTAAAACTTGAAAGATTCTTTACTAGTTAAAAAAATAAACATCAATTTTTTTCTATAAACAAAAAACCCAAACAATGAGAGAAAGTTAGCCACCATTACTTGTAAGTTTTGAATAGTTATATACCACATTAAATAAAAGAATACCCCAATCACTGAGCTTACATTTCCGATTTACGTCGTTTTTTTGCTTTTTCTTCTACCATTTACTTATTTTGTTGCTAGTTGGCTAGCCTGCCATACTCGTTTACGTTTTAATAAACCGCTAAATTGTTTATAGCACGTCTTAAGCGCACCAAATCAATTAAAGAATAAGAATGTCGAAGCTTACCCGTTCTTCATGTAGAAGATGTCTGGTACGTATCAACCAACTCTGAGATCGTACACGCATGGGAATTTTCTCGATAACATCCTAAAAATGGCCAAGATATGATTGGCAAGAATCCAAAAAAATTCTCAAAACAGAATGCAACAATGCGTGCAAACCCTTTTATGCGGTGGTTTCTCTCCTTGATCCAGTTTAAGTTCATGAATATCTGGTACAAATAATAATTTCCGATCAACAGGCTGCTGTGACGGAGTGGGCTGGTTGTCATCATCATCATCGTAATGTTCCGAAGGGAAATCCAAATCTTCGAATGAATCCTCATGTGTACTTCCTCCTTCCTCGGATTGGAAGGTGTGAATCCTTCGCATCATACGTTTTCTACGATCAGCAAGAGTGAGTTGATGTTGCATGTTGGCGAGCTGCCAAAAAGCGGGAAGGGGGCAGTGATTTTAGGGGCAGAAACGGGAATTTTTTTTTGAGCAGAAGGTAGATTTCTGGCTGAATCCTGAGTCTTAGCTGCTTCTCAGTCCAACAAAGTCAAATTAAAGGACTTTTTGACGGAGGTATCAACGAATAGAAATTGTGTCTAAGCGGATGTACATGTTTTCGCGTGCTCGCCCAAGGGCACGCCCCTCTCTCGCCCCTCAGCTGGCCTATTCTTACACCAACGAACGAGACGAAGTGACATGGATAATGATTGCTCTGAACTAGAACAGGTGCTGCGAGTTGTCTGTCTCTCTGGGAAAATGGACGAGTTGTGCTTTCTGTCATGTAACAAAACAATGTCAATTTGTTCTTTAACAACCATTGACAAATCAGTTAAATTTTATCCCGACAGAATCTCTACAAGAACAGGCTGAACAATTAATCAACAACACAATCAATCAATATCCGTTTGTAAGCAAAAGTTATAGTTATAAGTGTTGAGCTCTTTCATGAATCTTTTCATTACATTGACAGTCTTAAGCTATTTTTGAAGTAATAAAGCAGATAAAGGAAAAGCAAGTGTGTTATTATCAGCGTCGAATTTTTTTACGAAAATTGACAAAAAATATATCGAAAAAACCCAATCAATCCTAATCATGCAAACAAGACAAAAAAATGATATGATTACTGATTATTGAACTCCGGACGGAACCTCAGACTTTTACTGTTAGGCCTCGGACAGAGTTCACGTGATTCAATCGCAGCGATTTTCATTCATTTTCATTTTACATTCAAAAAATTTCGAGCTGGAAAACTATCACAACCGAAATGCAAGCTGATCGACATGCAATGAACTCGTAACAGTTGTCCTGTAGCCATTAGCGACGATCAAATCGCGTGAACTCTGTCCGAGGCCTTACTATTACATTAGTTTGTCCGCAAGTTCACAATTATAAAGAAACCTTTCACTCTGAATAATAGTAAAATAATAATAGTATTGGTAATGATAATGATAATAGCAGTAATAATAACATAAAATCAAACAAAAAAGTAGTCTTTGACTACATGGTAGATGTTTCTAAATGTTCTAATTTATTATAGATATAAAAGATTTTATCTGACACACAATTGAACTGATTAATAAAAAATTTGAGAGGTCAAGCTATCTTCCAAGATATCCAACTACTAAATATTTAAATGAAATTAGATTTTACTGATACGAATTTTTAGCAACGGAACTCGAAAGAAATTCGACTTTCTCTTTATCAGCTTGTAGGTGGATGCCAATTGAATCATCGAATCTAGAAAGCACAAGATTTTCTACTTCGAAGATGTGCTGAATCAAACGAATTCGTTGATATTTGACTTTACAACTATAATTCTTGCACCAAAATTTTCAAGTAATTGCAATTCTGTCTAGTTTTAACGAATTCATTCGATTTAATACATCTTCGAAAAAGATTATGTGTTTTCTAGAGTTTCATAAAACAAAAACCCAACAACCTCATCTATTAGGCTGATGCAAAAATAATGGCCGTGTACTAAGGTTAGTTAAAGCTAGAAGTGATTGTTCTCAAATATCAATGCAGATACCAGGCTGAAATTTCATAGCCATGCTTCGGAGGCTTTGTGGTACACTGTAGCTGAATTGGGGGAAAGAGGCGGGGTTAGAGGCGGAGTTGATTTTCGATTTCCGTTTTTTCTTGAATCTCAAGTGACAAAAAATTACAGCAAGTGCATGAATGAACGTTAGTATGTGTCTATTATGTGATGACTAACTGGGAGACTTGTAGGACTTCTCCGAGCGAAGATTCGATTTTTGAGCTGAATAAATGCTCACAGATTTTGGCATCAAACTTTATGTAGACTTAATATGTAGATAGATTCTTAGTAGCCATTCTATCGAATGGCACCTCATTCGTATATTTCTGAATCCATATGCTTTGGTACCGATGCAACGGTCATTATTTTTGCATCAACCTAATATGTACATTGTGCCCAAAAATGAATGCGTCACATCAAAAAGAGAAATGTTGCGAAATAATTTGTAAAACTTATGTATCAACCTAATGACACGTAATAGATGCATACATGTTCCCAGACAATAAACGTAATTACCACGACACTTAAAACAATCTCATCTTTTATCATGAAAGAGTAAAAATTCGACTCCATTACAATGCAAGGAAACCATACATCTAATTTGGTGGGCACAACTACTTAGAACCAAAATGGTGACAAGCTGTAAGATAAGAGTGCTAAATTTTCCAGTTTAGAATGGCTATTGTCTCTTATCGCCCATACAGGGCAATTTCACCATTTAGCATATTTTTTAAAAACTTTATATGGACTAATCTATTCCGATAGTTAACAATGCAGTGAGAAAATGGCTTCTTTTCTCATTTTGCTAGAATCCAGAACACTACCAGCGACCAATTTATAGGCTGTCGTGTTTTCAAAGTGTGTCTTTTGATTTTCGTGAGAATTTATAAGTTTAGTAATATGACGGGACAAGGGCGTAGTGGTATGAAGCGCCGCTATGACTAGGTCGGACCGAAGCTCTATCCCACCCCTGACCAAGCCTTCTACTCTATGGTACCGTAAATTGGTACCGGAGTGATTTGGGAGGATAAAGGCACTGATTCGGTGGCCGGCTGGCCCCCGCGAGTCAGTAATAGGCTCGCACGCATTCATTAGCCTCTACGACAATGAAGTACGATACCGCTCGTATTTTTGAAAAAAAAACGCAGAGTCATCCGATTTCTGGGATATCACCTTAGCGTGGTTATATCTCGCTTCAGAGTGGTCGAATTTTTAATCCAAGGGCATATTCGACTCAGTTCGGCGTGGCACATCTTCTGATGTATAGAAGTGCCTGCTTGGACACAGTAGGATGCCAGATTTCACGAATTTCAGATTTTTGCTTACGGTAGGTTACTCAGTGTTCTTATTCATTACACTCCCTGTAACCTACCGTAAGCAAATCTGAAACATTGGAATCTGGCTCCTACTGTGTCCAAGGGGCACTTCTATATACGGGAAGATGCGCTGCACCGAGCTGAGTCGAATGGTATTCTTGGATCAAAAATTCTTCACCCTGAATCGAGATATGGCCACGCTACGGTGATATCACATGAATCGGGCGACTTCGTCGTTTTTTCAGAAAATATGAGCGGTATTGTACGAGGCTGATTGGCTCGAAAGAACTGCTAGAAAATCGCTGAAAAGTTATGATCTCCGCTCAGAAACAAAATTGCAAAAAAGCTTACAGATAGAAGAGCAGTCGATGGTTGAGATACGGATGCTGTAGGTGCTGTACCAACAAAATCCGGCATCTGCTCGGTCATATTCGCCAGAGTAAACTCAAGGAATGCTAAGGGAAATTCTAGCTGCACTCACTTTTTTTTTTTTCAAAGTCCATTAACAGAATCAGCTTTCATATTTTATCGGCCATTACAGCCACATCAAATTTTGCGCATGTAATTTCATAGCCCACATAAATCCGCAAAATTGCACAAAAATGTCTGTGTACCAAAGCGTTTTTGCAGTTCCGAAAGCAATTCACATAAATTACATGAATTATAATTTGTTTCGCAAAAAACATGCCTTCAAAGGCCCATTGACGTTTTTCATATGCAATGGAAAATTTTCATAAAATGTGAAAGTGCACAAATTGCGCTAAATTGTGCCGGAAGCTGAGCAATTGTGCACATTTGCAGTTTACACTTTTGAGATTCTGTGTGAGTCAGACATTATATAAGATGCGTATCCAACGAAATTACGTACAGATGAGATGTTGTTTTTCATTAGCTGAAGGGGAAGGGGCAAATCTCCATCATGGAGCGAAAATGCGAAGGATGCTTTAGGAATACGAGAATAAACAAAGCAGTTCTACGAATTGTGGAAACAATTATCAAAAAAGAGAGAGTTTTTGGATTTCGTCCTTGCTTTCTTCATTTCGATTGAATTGCTTGGGGGGGGGGGGGTAAATATAAACACGGAATAATAATAGTGATAACATCAACAATATACTAGGTTGTTCGCAAAAGTTTGTCGGTTTTTTCAGACCACTATAAAACTATGCACAATGAAGACCTGGATGCGTTTCAAGATGCATTCAATGCAGCTTTTCCTTCTCTTTTTTTTTTTGCGATCGCACTTTCGAACCACTGCCCTGTATGCTTTCTTCGATAATTGTTAAAATTCTTCGCTCGTCATTTTTATCTGCTCAAAGTTCGGCTAATTTCCAAAAAATTCGTTTCAAAGTTTCTGAAAGGATTAAGCATAGCTCAAATAGAGCAACTCTCGGACTACAAGGTGATGTTTATAGATTCTGCTATTCTGCTGTCTGTAACGTCAAAAAAATTATTTCTTCGGAGGTCTCTATTTTCGGAAAGTCATATTACAAGCAATTGCAGCAAATCCACGAAAGCTTTTAGAGTTTCTGCGTATTGAAACATGATTCTTATTGAACATCATTTATGCAACATAACCAAGTTTGATTTGCTCCGAAAAAGCAGCTTTTTGGAATTTTCGGTACTTTTACGTCGTAAACATAATCAAAAGGCGGTTTTGCTTAAATAAAAAATTACTGACTTGATAAACGTCGCCCATGTAATCGAAAAGACAGGGCTAATCAGAAAGCAAATGTAGCTGTG